AAAAAAAAAAAAAAAAAACCTCTCTCGGAGAAGGACGCCCAATTCCCAAATGCTTAAAAAGGAGTCGAAAAATTGCGACTGGTTCACTATACAAAGCTGAAAACGCCCAAAAGCTTAAAAAGGAGTCGAAAATATTGTGACTTAGTTCACTGCACTATAGCTGAAAACGAAACAAGAAATTATAGCGACATGACCATTCAACGGGCCTGTTCTCGGACGTGGACGTAAGGGACGGATGAGAAATTAAGAATAGAGGAGGCTAAAATTTTAGAAACTCATTTTCATAAATTTTTTTTATTAAATATTTATTTAAGTTGTGTTCGACGGACTTTTATAAAAAATCATTATACTTATTTTGCCCCGTATTTGATGTGCTTTCACTAGTTTGACGTCGACCTCATTTCTTAAACAACGATGATCCTAGAAATCACTATTAATTTAAAACCCTAAAAAGCTCAAACTAAAATACAAATGAAATAAGTATCTAATAAGAAGTTTAAGTCTCGTTTATTTGGTTAGCTTATACATTATTTGGTTAGCTTATAAGTTCCTTGTATTCAAATAAGTCTCGTTTGGTAGGACGGGTTTTTTTTTTTTTTTAAACTCGAGCTTATTTGATAAGCTTCTTTAGGTAGCTTTTCAAATAAACTAGTTGAATTTTTATTCCTGCTAGCTTATCAGCTAATTCCATCAAACACTTTTATCATATAAACTAGTTTTTCATCTATAAGTCATAAGCTATAAGCTATAAGATAAAAAATTACTGATAAGCTATAAGCTAGCTTATCAGCTAGTTTTACCAAACATAACATTAGTGTATAGTGGTGTTTTGTAGGTTAGTGCCTACTGGAAACTGGAAAGGTGGATAAACAATATATAACATTAGAGTGATATTTGTAGTCTTTGAACTTAATAGATAAGTGAATTATTTTGGTAGGTTAGTATGTTGATTTATCGGAATGAGCTAGAATTACAATAATTTTTTTTTCAAACTAATAGTTGTTAAAAAAATAACAGGACTGGGGTTCATCCCAGCCCAGGCTTAAGAAAGATCTGTCCCTGTGGGACGTGTTTGTTGAGGACCTGAATCGGCCCAATCATGTTTACGGATTCGGTTTAATGAACAAGCGATTTTGGACTGATTCAGCGAACCGTCGGTTCTGGGATGCTTCAAGGTTGAATCGATTCTTGGCTGGTTGTTTTTTTTTTTTAAAAAAAAAGGCCAATGGCCAAGGGCGTAGCTATAAATATTCTACATTCATGACTGCAAAATATGCAACTATTATACGAATTGAGTTGTCCTCTAACATAGTTCGATTCCACATATAAAGTTTGACTTAATATGTTTGTATATTTAAACGAGTCAAACTTGAACAACTAATCGAGCTTGTCTATCAAACAAGTCGAGTCGAGGTTTGAGCTTAATTTGTTTGTATAAATCCAGCTACCGATACTGAAAAACCCCACTACCACTTGAAAAAAGAAAAGCGGAGATCCGTTAATGAGTGGTTTTCTAGACGTGAAGAGGACCGCCGTAGTGCGGCTTTGGACGGCCAATTTTTGTGAGGTGGTGCGACTTTGGACGGCCAATTTTCCGTGAGGCCGGTGTTCGTATATGGTATTCTCTACTTTGAGAATCAGAATTAATTTGGGGGTTCGCCTTCTTCCATCCCTGCCCGGTTTTGTTAGAAAGAATGGCGTTCTATTTCATCTCGTCGATACTCGATCGGTGTTAGTTGGATGGAAATTGGAGTTTTGCGTATCGTGAAATCTTGTTGAATGAATCTGGTGATATTTAAATATATGGACTCTAAGTCTCTCCTTTTTAGTTTATTAAATTATCAAGTTGTCGTTACAAAGATGACAAAGTAAAGTTATTTTGGACATAACATATTTTTACAGAATCATTGACACTTTTATAATATTATAGAGACAGATGTATCGTTTAAGACTTTATCATGTCGAGTTTAAAACCTTAGACACTAGAGAAGTGAAAGTAGAATTAAAAAAGTAGTTAAGGGTTAGGTTAGAGGAAGATTTAGAAAATATATAACATATAATGCCCATCACACTCAATGAATATGAATTGATGGCTAACCATTTTATGCGAATAAATTCAAACTATGATAAGGTGACCGCGCACAAAAGTTGATGAAAATTTCTACTTTAAATTGTTGTTTTCCATCTTTTATCTAATTAAACGAGTAATCATCACGCAGTTGTAATGTCAAAAATTGACCGATTAGGATTAATAGAAAATGAACCATAAATTATGGGATTTCAATAGATGAATCCAAACCATGCCACAATGATTGTGCATTGAATTGAAATAAGGAAACTCATGCTTATTGTTGGAGCAAAGCAAAGTTAAATTTGATTTTTGAAAGGCAAAAAGAAAACAAAGAAAAAGACAAAAAGAAGATGTGATAATTTGACATCTGCGTGACAAAAGAGAGACATGGTGAAGCTCTACCGAATGTTTTAAAACTGATAAATACACACAGTGTATACATGAATTATGAAAAAAAAAAAGAGATAATATCCTTTTATGGTATGTTTCACCTCTGTGAGACCGCACGCTCTTTCCCCGAATCTACGAACAATATATTCTTACCTCCGACTATTTCATGAATTCCAAATCCAATCGATACGTCTATGAGATGATTCCTCAAATGAAAGCACAAACACATATTTCACATGTAAGGTTCATTGCTACTTGAAATAATTGAAACGTGCATGCTCTACAGCGAGTAAAATTTGCAAATAAATTCAAGTTTACGAAGAGGAGAAAGACAACCACCAAGGAGCTGTTAGAATGGGCATCAAAATTATGCTGGAAAAACAACACAACCTCACAGTACACCAGTGGCAATGCTTGAAGTTGCATTTATCTTCAAAGATTGCTCGGGTATATAAGTCAGTCCTGCAAAAATAAAAAATAAAAAAATAAAGTAAAAAATTTTATCTATCTATACTATTATAAAAGATCCAATGAATCTATAAAAATATTATATTCCTAAATTAACCTTACTTTGTCATGTTTATAATGCCAATTTTGTAATTTAATACTACATTCTATACTAATAGTTTTAATTAAACACATTCTAGGGACATGTCCTCCACCTGCGTACGTTAAACCTTAAAAATATAGGGGATTATCTTCACGTCTCCGCTCACTCACGCACACTCTGGAGAGAAGATAATAAATATATTCAATCACACTTTCCTGTTGCACAATATTCATTCATTCATCAGTGTGAAATTGATCTTGGGGTTTATGTACGTTGGTTTGGCCCAATTATCAATGTCGTCTATTTATCAAAATTTCTCCCTTTTGAATATCTTGTCACTCCCCATTTTCAGTTTTTGTCTAAAAATTTTACATTTAATTAAATAAGATTTTCAATGATATTAAAATTTGAACAAACTTTTAAAAATTATCAAAATGTTAAATTTTACATTTATTTAAATAAGATTTTCAATGCTATTAAAATTTGAACAAATTTTTAAAAATTATCAAAATGTTAAGTTAGTGTACAGAAAAAACAAAATTATGACATTAGCTTACCAAATACTCATTTTTTAAAATTTAGACAAACAATGTATTCTCTGTACCCAAAAAAAAAAAAAAAAAAAAAAAAAAAAAAAAAAAAAACCGCGTTCAGTATGATAGATAAGAAAAAAAACTAATAAAATATATTATTGCTTCACATGAGAAATTGATTTTCAAGATGAACGCTCTATAAACAATGATAATTCAAATTTTTGTATATTAAATATTTTATATATTGACATTATTTTAAGATTTGTAAATATTTTTATGATTTTCTCAATAATTTTGAGAGTTCATTTAACCGTAAGTATATAAGATAAATTTCTTAACAATATTTATTTAATTTTATAAGTTTATTAATAACAATTATTTTAGCATTAAATGTGATATGGAGGCCAAAACTATCGCGCTAATTATACATAATATAAATCTTTAATTTAAATCAATTTTATTTCTTAAGCAAAAAATAAAAAAAGAAAATACAATATACCAAATAATTGTTTTAACGTTTTTAAATTATCTTTTAAGATTATTGAAATATAAATCAAAAAGAAAAAGCGTTCAATATGATAGATAAGGAAAAAACTAATAAAAAATATTATTGCTTCACATGAGCAATTGATTTTCAAGATGAGCGCTCTATAAACAATGATAATTCAAATTTTTGTATATTAAATATTTCATTTATTGACATTATTTTAAGATTTGTAAATATTTTTATGATTTTCTCAATAATTTTGAGAGTTTATTTAACCGGAAGTATATAAGATAAATTTCTTAACAATATTTATTTAATTTTATAAGTTTATTAATAACAATTATTTTAGCATTAAATGTGACATGGAGGCCAAAACTATTGCTAATCATACATAATATGAATCTTTAATTTAAATCAATTTTATTTCTTAAGCAAAAAAAAAAA